AGTCAGGTAATGAAACGTCTGCAAGCAAACCACCAAACTCGGATTCTCCCCCCCCCCACCGGTCCTTGAAAAAGTGTTTGTGCTTGAAACTGGTCCCTGGTACAAAAAAGGTTGGGGACCACTGTTGTAGGGAAAATAGGAGGGGGCGGAAGTATTGTGTATGTTCATTCCTTTGCATTATTTATAAAAATAATAAAGGCATGATAAATATAAAGAAATTAAATAAATAATAAGAGCCATTCAAATACCAGGCCCTCTCCAATCACTGCAGAAGATATAGTCTTAATCATATTTAGAATAGATTAATTCAGATTGATGCAATTACTCCAATACTCCAGATTTAAGTGAACTTTTGGTTAGTCCTATTGAAACCGGAAGGATTAAACTCAGTCATTTTTTTAAAGTGTGATTAAGTCTGGATCCAAGGTATCCTATTTCTTTATAGGAGTTTTCTATAATTTAAGGTATATTTTTGAGTTGATATATCCATTATCAGCTATTTCCCAGCGTACTAACTACTTGACCATTTAAAACCTATTGTATTCAATGAAATTTGCTTCACTTTGCAGGACTTTTTATGAATTTGTCCCAGAGATATTTAATTCATAAGAAAATACATTTAGGATTGCAATATAGGTAGTCTTTGATTTACAACCACAATTGAGCTCATTTTTGTTCCTAAGTGAGACAGTTGTTTAGGAGCCAAGGTGGCGCAGTGGTTAGAGTGCAGTACTGCAGGCTACTTCTGCTGACTGTTGGCTGCCTGCGATTTGGCAGTTCAAATCTCACCAGGCTCAAGTTTGACTCAGCCTTCCATTCTTCTGAGTTTGGTAAAATGAGGACCCAGATTGTTGGGGGCAATATGCTGACTCTTTCAACCACTTAGAGAGGGCTGTAAAAGCACTGTGAAGCAGTATATAAGTCTAAGTGCTATTGCTAAGTGAGCTTTTTCCCAATTTACAACCTTTCTTGTCACAGTTGTTAAGTAAATCACAACAGTTGTTAAGCTAGGAACACAGTTGTTAAGTGAATGTGGCTTCCCAATTGACTTTGCTTATCATAAAATCACAAAAAGTGATCACACAACCCCAGGACACTGCACCCATCATAAACATGAGTCAATTGCCAAGCATCTGAATTCTGATCATGTGACCATGAAGATGCTGCAACAGTCATAAGTGTGAAATATGGTCATAAATCACTTTTTTCAGTGCAGTGGTAACTTTGAACAGTCACTAAACAAACCATTGTAAGTCAAGGACTAGCTATATTATTACCTGCATCCAACAAGTATCATTAGCACCGCATAAGTGTTACATGATTTGACTGAATATATGAATTAATGCAGCCTCATGTAATGCAACAACCCTTTCATATGTATTAAATCATAAATCCCATAATCTCTAGTCTGGTGGATGGCAATAATAATTGTAGTCTGACATCTGGAAGATATCAACTGGAAAAAAAAATAAAGTTCTGTTTGTGACAGAATCTATAATGAAATAATTCCAAAATACAGCCTAATTTATTCTATGTCATCACAACATGTAGAAAGTTTTCAAGGTTCTAGTGGCCCAAGTATTACCGTGCCTTCACTAAGTTCAGTGGGAATAGCTCCCAGGAATGGGAACTGAATGTGGTAGTTTTAACTACTATTGGAGCTCCTTTACCAATATAATATATTGCAAACTATATAATATTTAACCTGATACTGTCAGCTTTGCAGGGATGCATTAATAGTTCTATGTGAGATACATGCACTTACAAATACAAGCATGACGTACATTTGCTGTTCACCATATATATGTTTAAGTATATGCTTAACACATCATAAAAATCATGCTAGTAATAATGAAGAGGAGGATATGTATATATACAATAATCTGAAACAGTCTTAACGGATAGCTTACACTTGCATTTGAAGAAGCACAAGAATACTGATTAGCAGAACATTGTTACTTGACCATTTACTACATTAATCTTGACAGTTTAATACAACAGATCCTATAAACAGAATTCCGGTGTTTTAGTGGAAGATCCAGAACTCTGTATTTTTCAAAATCAGTCACTGATGATGTTATTGGCTCATAGAATATGCAATAAAATGTTGGCATCACACTTCAGTAGAAATCCAGCTAAAGTTCCTGGAATTATATAGATTTCCAGATGGTAGAAGAGTCATGTGTGAACTTAAGGGCCAAAGTCCAAGATATCTCAGCTCAGGAGGAGCCAGTTGGTGATGATAGTGATATTCAAAAGCCCTCAACTGCTGTGAGTATGCCAGGGGCTAAAATGCTTGACACTGTTCAATATAACATGTTGTTTCTTTATTCTTCTCTTTAAAAACATTTCAGAATCAACAATAATAAAAATGAAATAATAACAAAATGACTATAGTGAATTGAATCAATTCATTTTATTATTATTTTATTTTTATTATTGTTTAAGCAAGTTCTCATTTTCCTAAACAGCAGGATGATTATTCCAATTTCAGAATGCAAATACATCCCTTTAACTACCTGCACAACTTGGCAATCATTACGTTAAAATAATTTTATCATATTTACATGAGCTTTATATTTCCAGAGTCCCTAATGTAAATAAATTACATAGGAACTGGACTATGTAATTATTTTTATTGAAAACATGGCTTCTTCTGTTCAATGCCCCTCATTAACAAAATTTAGCTCTAAAATGCAGCTCATGCAAGGGAGGTACAAAGGCACCTGAATGAAGCATAGGTAAAGCTGTCCAGCAGAACCACAGAGGATCCAGGGACAGCCGAGCAGATGACAAAATGTGTGTTGTGACATCACGACGACGCAACCCAAATGACTTACAATGCAGAGATGTAAGCACTAAAAAAACAAGGATCAAGTTGCGGTTGTCAAGGTTCCAACTAATGAACCCAACTAATTCAGCACTCCAAGACTTGCAGCTTTCTCAAAGAACTGTTTTCATCCGTGCCGAATGATGTACTCAATAAAACAGTTCTTTGAGAAAGCTACAAGTCTCGGAGTCCTGAATTGGTTGGGTTCATTAGTTGGAACCTTGACAGTGATATAATAATGTGCTTTTCCTTGTCTTTTCATGATTGCTGTTAGCAGTGGGGCTTTAGGCTGTCACAGCTCTGGTTGAACCCCCAAAGTCCACAATCCGTAATCCAGTATGATATCCAAAAGCAAGACACTATGCTTTTGCCATTGCTGGCTGAAGGGAATATAAAACCACCTTGCCTTCCTTTACCAAGACCATTAGACAAACACATGAAGTGAAGAACTGTGGGGGACGGGCAGCTAGGGAAGATACTCAGTGTTAAATGGATGGCATGCCTTACTATCAAATAATAAAGGCCTAGCAGCAGCTCTAAATAACCTTTTTATTTTGTCTGACTGGTCATTTATACCATTTTGTTTGGTTTTTTTCAGGAGCCTACTGCTTCAACTGTTTCTTTTAGCCTCTAATTCAGTATTTCTCAAACTTGGCCACTTTAAGATTTGTGGACTTCAACTCCCAGAATTCCCAGGGAGCACAAAGCCAAACATTTTAAAGTTGCCAAGTTTGAGAAACACTGAGTAGATTATGTTGTTCTGTTTTTGATGGAACTGAGGCACTTACCTGAACTCGAGCTTCAGTGAGTTCCGTTCTCAGAGCCAACTGCTCTCTGACATAAACATCAGGGTAATGTGTCTTCTGGAACACTTTCTCCAGTTCTTCCAGCTGTAAACTGGTAAAAGTGGTCCGGTGCCTTCTCTTCTTACTGCTGGAAACATTGCTGTCACACTTATCACCAAGTTCATCCAATTCTCTTTTCTCCGGAATCCCTTTCACAGGAGACATTCGGAGATTGCTGCAAGTGTCCAGCGGTCTGCCCATCTCAGGGTGCAGTGGTTGACTCTCAACTTTCGTAATTCCAAAATTCACTGCAGAAGAAAATAAATGAAGTTGGCCTGCATTCATGTTAAGTTTAGCATCATTTAAAAAAAAATATGTGAAAAACCATAGATTGCTTGTAAGAATAATGTGCAAAATGTTTATAGGTACACAGTCGACTCTTGGATGAGACTTGTTATACCCAGATTTCCTTTTATGTGAGTATCTAGAAATTAGTAGATGAGATAAGGGTACTATTGTGGATTTTCAATTTAGTCTCATCAAGATCTAAGTCTGATTTTTTTCAAAGTAAGATGCACTTTTCCACCAATGCTATTTCTTTTTCTACTAAAGATAAATTGATTCATACTTAGAATGGAAAATCAGATCAATGTAATAGTGCAAACATATGGCACAGTACTAGACATATCTTCTTAGCAATAAATCTTCTTGTATTCATGGGAGTTAACTTTGAATTAAGTCTCTTCATTTAGAACAAGCCTTGTTCTCTTCAATAGGGCTTATTTTCTATGAAATATCTCTAAAGGGTCAGCTATATTGCGAAGCCTATGCTTGTCTACTTTTCATTTACAATGTAAGCCAGAGGGATTTATTTTCAGGTATGCTATCAAATACAATTATAATCAAATTTACTTAGGACTAAGATCAATTGGGAATAAAATTTATTGATGAACAAAGAATATGCAGAACAATCTGATTGTATTCTATTTGAGGAAATAATCAATTAGTTTTAAAATACTTTCCCTTGGATGGATTATGTCATTATTTTATTTTGCAAATTATTTAATAATGAAAATTATTAGGGATGCATGTGTTAACAAGGATTTGTTAAAGAATACAGCATGCTGAGTCAAAGTTAGTAAGAAATGAAAATATTTCACCAAAAAAATAATGTTCTTTGTTCTTAGTGGAGTGGCTTTTTTCCAATTAGTTTATTACTGCAAACTTGGAGGGGGCCTTTTTAAAATCGTAACTCAGTCAAACTGGTTATTTCCTATATTTTGTCCTCGTCCTACCAGAACTATTTATCTTCTCAGAAACACTCACTGTCCAAGATAAAGCTTAAAGTATTCCCCCGCTCCCACTTAGCTTCCGAACAAATTCCCATGATTCCCCACCCCTCCTTAAAAATGTCATATTTCTAAGATAATTGATGTTACATGTTGGGGTGAAATCACAAGTTTAGGAGGAAAAAAATGTTCAATCTGCCCATAGAAGTAAGCATTACAACGAAAGGAACTATTTTGAACTTTTTAAAGTGTTCTCTGTCACTCCCAGTAATTTCACTACATTGGTCTGCTCATTGGGTATGATTTTAACTAGGCATGGCTTACAATTTATACTAGTGCCCTTACCTCTAGGTGAGATTCCAAGCAATTCAATGGAAAGTTCTACTGATCAAATATATTTATGTTTTTACTTACAAATTAAGATTTGAGTCTCTCTCTCTCTCTCTCTCTCTCTCTCACACACACACACACACACACACACAAAGAGACTCATACACCTACACATAAAATAAAACAATATATAAAAAATTAAATAATTTAAGCAAGGTAAGCAACAATGATTTAAGTTCCGCCAACAATGTACTTTCTGGTTCCTTTCTTGGTAAAAGTTTAATGCCATCTTCTATGAATGCAAACAATAACTAAACATGTACGAATATTGGCCAAATATTAGGCATTAACAAATAGCAAACTAATTATACTTTTATGAAATTGATAGATTCATTAGGTATTCCCTGCATTTTTCCATATGTATATGGGGATGTGTGAGTGTGTGCTGAGAAGTGATTCTTTCTGAAATCATTTGAGCTTTTTTCTTAGGCACAGTGAACACTGAGAACGTTACAAAAGGTGGGGTAAATCTTTAATTCTAATAATAAGGGAAGTTATACTATGTTTAAAAATTAAACTTATCAAAACATAATAATCATTTAACATAGTTGCTTTATTTTATGACACAGTGTTTGATATGTAAATGTCTCCCACCATAATGTACCATAATATACCTCCCTTTGCTGTTTTACTTGCAAAATTTCTAAGAAGCCTTCCACAGATTCAGTCTTTATAAACTCCTTTACTTAGAATAAATTAGTTATCAATTAGAAATGTTATATTTGTTTCTGTTCTGCTTTAAAAGGGCCATATTTTTCATTCTATATTCTTTTTTAAAAAATTACAAATATAGTGTCTTAAAATCAAAACTGTAACCAGTTGGCTGAGTCTAAAATTAGAGAGCAAATCATATTTCTGTGCTGAATTATGTGGCAAAGAACACATTGCTAAGGAAAAAAATCAATTCAGCATTTAAAGAATAAAAATGCTAACTAATTCCAGAAAGCAGTGTGGGTTGTTTTTTTTATTAGATGTTTTAGGCCAGTCTCGGGTTGTTTGTTTTGTTAAGTGATGAGTTTCTGCACTAATTACATGACTAAAGAGAACTCCAATCCACTTAAAACTGAAGGACTCAGTAACAAAGCATTTCTTCTTGACTTGGTTTGTCAGGTTTAAAGACTGGAGTCGATAAGAGATAAAAGTGGGAGAGTAACGGAACCGCTTCCAGGTTTAGGAGGCAAATCTGCAAGTTAGGAAGAGTTAGAGATGTTTTGCTGCTGTTTTTGTTACGGGGGTTTTGGGTGACCCTGAAGCTACTGTGAAATAGTTGGATTTAGGGGAAGATGTGTTCCCTATACATCTCCGAAACAAGCTAATCCCAACATACCCTTATCAGTTAGAAGTGGTGAAGTGTGTAACTGTGTGTGTGGTAGCCTGGCTTTTTGGATGGAAAAAAAATTGTAAGAACAAAATTTCCTTAAAGCCAAGAGGACCCGGATAGTCGACAAGTTCCAAAGTCTTTCCAGGCTGGAAAAGTGTTAACAGGCGCCAGGAAAGCCTCCATGCAATGTACAATTACTTCGGAAGCCCATTGAATACTTACTTTTCACTTGCTAAGTATGAGCATCTAATTGCAAACCAGACTTCATTTCTGCAAGAGTCTGCCTTGTTACTACTATGCTACTAATCTCTTCTGCCACCGCCACTGCTCCTTGGGTGAAAGAGAGAAAACAGACTAAGAAGGACCTGACCCTTTTGATAGTTTTAAGTCCTGACAGGTTTCTGGTTTCCAACATTTCGTTTTGCTGGACTGCGAGAGTTTCTATAACCTCCAGCAAGTAGGCAGAGCGGCGAAGCTACGCAGCGCTTCCGGGCAACATAAAATTAACCGAAAGGGCAGCTGCTGGTTTGGGAGAGAGAGAAAGGAAGTAGCAGGACCACAGCCTAACTACGCAATCGTTTATTTTCCCCTTAATTTAATTTACCTTAGGGATCACACGAAATAAAATATAAAGGAACTATTTGCTAAAGAAAGTAGAGGAGAAATATGGGGATGAAACTATCCGTGAAGCAGATAGATTTAAAAAAAAATCAATTAAAAATAATTCAATGTAACCGTGTTGACAGAGGCCTCTATAAATGGAGAGTTGGTCCGAGTGATGCCTTTTGTATGTTACCGGTAGTTAAAAGGGAGGGAGGGGGGAAGAAAGCTATTAGAAAATAGATTCCCAGCGGCTGGCCAGTTGACCATATGCAAAAAGAAACTCAACAGCGGAACAGCGTTTCCCCAAACCACAATTAAGTTGCCTAGTCCTCCAGTCATCGCTTTCTTTGGTTCTGCCTAACAAGTTATCTAATGAGTAGTCTTATTCTCTCTCCATATAAACAAACAAACAAAATTGTGCTCTTATAATGGGCTGGGATCTCCACTCAGATATTCAACCGTAAAAGTCGAGCTGACTTATTATACACGATTCGGATCACAGCGGCACGGCAGTTAGCTGAAACAGAGGATGAAAATGAAAAGTTGCTGCTACACCCGTGATCAAAAGTAAAATGAAGTTTCGGGGTGCCAGTTGACCCCAAACAACTGCTGCTTTGTGTCATCCTTCCCCAACCCCACCCTGCCCTCGCCCGGTCCACAATTTTAAGTTTAGCATCCTGGACTCTGCCTTGCCGAGCCTCTGTGGATTCACTTTCGTTTTGCAAAGCAAGAGGAAGATGCGATGTTGACGTTTACAAAATAAAACCGGTGGGTTTCTCCTCCGTGTGAGATGGACGAGATGAATCCAGAAAACTTACAAGGGCAGAATTTCGAGAGTATGGGCCAAGAGAGATGCCTCCACGTTTTTCAAGGATTTCCTAAAGTGCGTTCTTCCCAGAGGATCCTAAAGAAAGTGCATCTGGAAATTCGTCTGCAAACAGTCGGGAAGTTCAAATATTCCCGGGCGCTTTGCAGACCAAGCTTCTGCCTAAGGGAAGACTGTGTGCGTTGTTTGTGCTTGTGCATGCATGTGTGTAACCAGTGCTCCCAGAACATTAACTGCGAGGATTGATCAGAAATTGTCAACGACTTTAAAATGAAACGGCAGACGGAGAGGGATATGCGATACATTTTCTCGATTTTTAAAGCGCGCGGATTTTCTTTAATTCGCAATTATAGCAGACGGTTCTAATTTTTTTTTCTTTTCCCCGAAGTCACGCCTGTTGATTTCAATAATTTTGGAGGTTCTCTGCCGCCTATCCCGTCGCCCATAAATATTGCGAATCTATCAAAAGGCCTCTACCAGACATCAGCCTCCCCCCCCCCCCCCCCCAATCTTCTTCCCTACGGCTCCTAAAACGAACTGGAATCCAAAGGCTTGGGGAAAGTTTTAGGTGGATCGAGCCCTCAAAGTGCCCATTACAGCATCAAACAGAGACTAGCCAGCCGCGTTTTTGTCTGGCCTGTTATTCTCTCTCAACTCTCCTGATAATTTCCGGTTCAGGCTCTTGTGCAAACCCTAATGTGTAAATCAGAAGTTAAATTTGCTGCCCGGAGCTGGACTGTTTTGTGTACTTAGGGGAGGGAGAATTGACAAAGATCTCTCTCTCTCTCTCTCTCTCTCTCACACACACACACACACAAATCGCTTCCCATCTCCCCGTTCCCAAAGGCCAATTGGGCTCCATTGGCGCGGCTTTTCTTCAGGAAACAAGATCCCGGCCCGCGTTCCGTGACAGCCATCTTCAACTGTCCGTTCCCCACCCCGCTGGGTCCCCCGGTTGCCTCGCTTACCGGAGCCATCCCTAGCCGGGGAAGTCCTGTCCAGCCGGCCGTGAGGAGCGTAGGCAGCAGCCTGACCCACGCATTTGCCTCCGCCTTTAGCGTAGAAGGCTTCGCCGCCGTCCAGCGCTTCCATGACGTGCTCCAAAGGAGCTCCGGGAGCCAGGTAGAAATCGCCGCTTTTGCCCGCCGCCGCCGGGGGGCTCTTGAGGCCGAATTTGTCGCTCAGGAATTCCATAATCCTCGACGGAGCCGCGCTCGCCCTAGCTGCTGCCCGCCCGGCTGCCGTCCTGCTCCCTGGCTGCCGCGACGGAGGCGCCCCGACGGCGCTTTTTATATCTTGAAGCGCAGCAGGGGCTTCTTGCGCAACCCTCCCCGCGCGCAGCCTCCGTTGGCTCCACCCAGCCTGCTGGCCCCTTCCTCCCCCCCCCTCCTCCTCCTCCTCCAAGCCTCGGCCCACAGCGGAGGGGACGCAGGCCAAGAGGAGGGGGAGCGGCTGGGAAGAGCCCCTCGTCGACCACAACCGACTCACATTTCGGACCGGCTTCTTCCCAGCTCAGAGGAGTCCTGCCCCCTCCCCGCCTCCTTTGCCCCAGCGACTTCGCGTCGACCCGAAGATTTAGCTTCGGCTCCGGTAAACCGGAGGAGGAAGACAAAGGGACCGATGAGCGGGGGCGGCCGCCGAGCTGCCGCACTACCTTCAAAGCCCTGGTTGAGCCGGCAAGAGAGCGCCTCTCCGAAATAGCCCGGGAAACCTCTCTGGCCGCCTTCGGAGGAAGTGCCTCGGGGAAGCCAGTAAAAAAAAACCAAGAACGCTGCCAGGCCGGCGTGGAAATCGGTTGCTGTTGCTGCTGCTGCTGCTGCTAGACGTTTCAAAGGGCTGGGGTGACACATAGCAGTATTCCAGCATGTGAGGGGCTGCCACAAAGAGGAGGGGGGGGTCAACTTGTTTTCCAAAGCACCAGAAGGCAACTCAAGTAACAACGGATGGAAGCTAACCAAGGAGAGAAGCAACCTGGAATTTAGGAGAAATTTCCTAACAGTGAGGACAATTAATTAAGCAATGGAACAGCTGCCCTTCAGAAGTTGGAGGTGTTTCATCGCTGGAGGTTTTCTTTCTTTTTTTAAGAAGAGACTGGACAGCCGTCAGTCTGACATGATAAAGGGTCTCCTGCTTGTGTGTGGGGTTGGACTAGAAGGCCCTGCAGGGTCCCTTCCAGCTCCATTCTGATTGAAATGCTCTGGAAGTAAGCGGTCCTCTTAGTGGCTTCTGGCTCTAGATCCGAAACAAATTCAAGTCTTGCTGGCTGAGTAGGATTCTAGAGCCTCTCCGGTTTCAAAGTGCAGCAGCCTTGTCCCTGCGTTTATTTTCGAGCAACTTTTTTTTTTTTTTTAACCTCCAAGAACAGGTTTGCCTAACTTTAAAAAAATGGGCAGACGAAAGACCTCGACTCCGCGTAAACGCGCGTCTGTCTGCGGGAGCTCTGGGGATCTGGAGAAGCGCTCCGCATCGAGGAGAGCTCAGGTATCGCCAAGTAAACTAAAAAGTAGAATAAGATGGCGATTTCCCAGGAGAATATCCCACCCACCGAAAGACCTAGAGAGATGTCTGATATCTTGCCCCTTCCATCAAAATAGTAGGCGGCTTAATATTTCAAGCGAGTGCGAAAGGATGAGTCTATGTGGATCTGTGGCAAGAAATTGCAGAGAAGAAACCTCTATATACATTGTGAACCCTTTTGGAAATGGATGAGAAAGAAGAAAGAAGAAGAAGAAGAAAGAAGAAGAAAGAAGAAGAAGAAAGTTTAGTGCGATTAACTAAAAAAAATCAAACTAGAATCTTGGAGGCTAATGAGCTGATTATCAGCATTGTAACCTAGGGATTAGGAAAGGCCTTTTTTCTTCTCTCCCCACTTTTAATTTATTTTATTTATTTTTAAGACGCTAAAAGCCTCAGGTTTTTTTTTTTTAAGCAAATCTGCTTAGTGTGTATGGCGAGCGTACTAAAATCGCTTTATTGATAAGAAAACAATACCGTCCAATCTAAACCATCTGCTGTTAATTCTTCCATTCCAGAAAAAACACGGGGGGATGCTGCAGCCATTTATCCCCAGTATTCCTTCTTGCATCTCTTATTGGGGCCCAGCAGATTTCCCAGTTCCTTGCACGGGCAATCTGCCACCCACCCACCCACCCACCATTTCTCAGGACCGTCGGAATAATGTGCAGAACAGTCGCGTTTCGCTTTGGCGTGGCCTTTGGCCCGAAACATTTCTTGTGCTGATATTTGAGGATATCTGTCCCTTCGCATTCTTCCCACGACTGTGAACTTTGCAACCGTAGGGATAAGAGAAAGTGGGGGTGGAGTCCTGAAACCTTCCTCTCCTCCTTTGAAAGTAAGGGTGGGGGTGGCTTGCTTTTTATGACATGAATTAAGAGAAACTCGTAAAACGCTGGTGCTATTTTTCCCTATCAGAACCTCCCTTCTTTAAAAGGCGAGTTTGAAGGCAACAGCTGCTGGGTGCGTGCCCCGGGAAGTGGGACCTTGAGAGAAAAGATATAAGGCGACTCAGTAGGCCAGTTATCCCAAGGCTTCGAAATCACTCGGACTTTTGCTAGGCATTTTACACCACTCCGGATGCTGCTTGATAAATATTGGAGACCGCGAAAAGAAGAAGAGCTTCTTCTTTTCTAAATCTGAAGTAGGAAAGGACTTTCAAACACTTTCAAACCCTCACAACTGTAGTCACTTCGGGATATTACCGATGGTGTTGATGTTGAATAAATAAAGGTGAGGTGGCCAGATTCGTTTGGAGAGGAATGTGCGTTGGGCCAACTTGAGTACAAGCCACCCCTCTGCCTATGGCTTCTTCTGCCTTAGACGCGATTTGCCCAGGCGGGGGCTTTGAGTAAAAGAGCTTTTAAGTAGGTGGTGCTTCTCTCTATACCGTAGAATTCCGAACAATACGAGCATTTCTGTCCCGGGGGACAGAATCCATGGCACATCCATGAATAGGCATTTCCTGGAGTTGACTGCCAAATTCCAAAGTCAATCCCGAACTATTTCAATCAAGAGCCAGATTTTTGCAGGACCCAGTCAGAATCGCCTAAGGTCAGTCACAAAAGTACTTTGCTCGCTTGGAACAGCCTATCCTAACTGACTAGAGGTTGGATTGGACCATTGATTCAAAAGAGTTCCGCCACAAAGCGATGGATGCGCCATCGGGGACTATTGGCTGGCTTTGTGGGCTCTTCCCCAAAAGCAACTGCGTCTCACGCTTATCTCGGTCATAAAGCCCTGGCTGCGATCAGAAATAGCTGTGAGTGAGACACAGTTTTTATTGACCTTGGGACGGAGTTCGGGGTGTGTGACACGATAGCCTCCCGGTGCACAAGTACAGAGAACCAGTCACAAATTTTGACACAGGAGGAAAAGATGATTTCAGGCAAAAGGCAACTTACTATGTTATTAACTGGGATGAGGTTGTAGTTCTGTGCAGTTACATAAAGGAAAAGGGCATCTAAAGTTCAGTCCTTCCGGACTGTAGCTTTGAAAAATCGTCGCAGGACCTTCGGATAACCTCTCGACTTCGGAGTTCCCTCACCCTCCCTTCTTCCCTCCTCAGCCTTCATCAGTCGGAGAGATGCGGCTTTTTGTATCTTTGAAATGAAAGCGATGCGCGTCCTCCTCCTTGCCTTCAAAGGCAGCCCACGCGAGGAAAGAAGGGGGGCGGGGAGAGTAAGAAGGACACCACCTTCCTTCCTTTCCCCGAGAGGATTGGGCAGGCCAAACACCCTGTTCCACCCGGCCTCTTTCTTTGAAAGTCGCCGGGGATTTGAAAGATCCCCTCGTCTTCTTCCGCTGTCTTGAGCACAGTCTCCGCCGGCTTTGCCCTGGATTTAGGGCGGCAGTGTGACCTCTCGCCAGACAAGCTCCCGTGATTTATAAGCTTTGGCTGTGATAAGATCGAGCCCAGGGAGGGGCGAGGGAGGCGGACCAGCAGAATGGTTCCCTAAAGAGGGGGAGGGAAGGGGAAAGAAAGGGGAAAGGGAAAGAAAAAGGGTCTGCTCTCCGGGCTCGCCAAATCGGGAGTCCAGTAGCCCCGCTAGAGTCTTTCTTCGCAACAATTTCTGAGTTACCTTTGGTGCGCAGCTTTGCTCCTAGCCTCGCCTCCCAGGCCCTTCGCATCTCCAAAACCGGAGAAGCGCAAAACAGATCCCGCCAGACGACGCTTGGGAAAGAAGCCTGGGTGGGAAAGGAAGGGGCCCGATTGCTTTTCCTGTCCTATCCTGCCGCGTCTTCTCCCACCTCAGACGAGTCAGAGGCTCAATCGCTCCGAAAAGCATCCTCTGAAGGGCGCCTTCTCCGGCTGCAAAGGCCAGACGACCAGGCTTCTCCCAGCGGCCGGGAGGCAGATGTGGGCTTGTGTTCCAGAAATGCAGCCTTCCCCGGACCGGCTGCAGAAGGGTGTCGGCTAGATGGGGAGACGGTTCTTGGCGGGGAGGGGTGTATGCAAGAGGAGGAAAACAGTTCCTGAGATAATCTCGGGAGCCATCCCGGGCAAACTGCCTCCCCGCCGCCCGGGCCGGCGGCGAGGAGCCCGCCTGTTGACGGACGGCGCTGAAAAGTGCAGCTGACGAGTTGCGTCAGCCTTCAGCGTCGAGTCGGCCCCGACTGTTCGCCCTTAAGGGGGTGAGGTTGGGGCAGCTAATGAGCTGCAGGAGCAGAGGACACCTTGCCACTGGCTTCAAAAAAAGGGGGGGGGGAGAGACAGATACCGCGCTGCTGGCAAGTCGCTGGAAGAAAAGTAGGGAGGGAGAGAAAGGAAATACAGTAAATGGAAGGGGGGAGGGGGGGGGGGGGTGGGGGGGGGGGGGGGGGTTGTCATCCGCTTCTACTAAAAACCTGAGTTACCAGAAAGAAAAAACGTTACGCATTTAAGATAAATATCTTCCACATAAAAAAGCGAAGGGGAAAGGAGAGAAAGATAGAAAACAGGAAAACACAGCTCTTTTAATATAGTCTCGGTTTTAAAAGGCCCTTATACGTTATAGTGTTCTTAGTGCCAACAATTAAGCCTTTGAATAGGCTTTCCTGTGGCTCAACAGCGGGAAGGAAAACGGGGAGCCCTCTCTTTGAGACCCCTACTTTCCCGTTGGCGCCCCTGCTCAGCTCACCTTTTCTTTTCAGCTCCGGCCCGTTTTCACGGGATCCACACTCTCGCGGACAACCTTCCA